AGTCCCCCACATTCTACTGAGGGGCTGTCCAGCCCCTCCTGGGCCTCCACTGACCCGAGAGACTCTATGGGCCCTGTGCCCCCTGAGGTCAATCGTCAAGTCGGGTGGCATTTAACCATCAGCTGTTCTACTGCCTCAACACCTCCCCCTAGCTGGTTCTCTGCCCCAGGCCCACCCTGCTTGGAGCACTGACTTTCCTGGAAGCAGGAAGGAGAGAGCACTGGATTAGGCTGGGTGGCTTTGGGGGAAGTTGTGTTTTTTCTTCCAGTGAAATAAAAGGTCCAGCATCCCAAGTCTTTAAGGCTTTCCAACTTGCTCATGATTCTATGCTCTGTCCCTCCTGTTAAAGAGCCTTCAGAGGCCTCCCTCCTGCACATAAAGCCCACGCTCCTTGTGCCAGCAGCTTTTGAGGCAGTGCAGAGCCTGACCCCAACTCCTTTGAGGCCTTTCTTTTGGCCTCCTCCCACCACCACCACCCTCCAAGCCACGCAGCCTTCTCACTGTTGTCCCCAACGGTCTAAACCATGCCCGTTTGCTCCCATCACTCATGCCACTCTGCTTGCAGCGATGCCCTCCCTTCAAAGCCTGCTCCACTGCCACCATCTGCCTCTTGCACGGAGCCCCAGCCTGAAGTGAGCTTCTCCTGGGACTTTGATACAGACATTGCATTCAACCCTAGGGAGTCACTGCTTGGGCATCCAATAGATGAAGCACTCGGACAGGTTAAGGTTAGTGAACCCTTCATCCAAGGACGTGTGACCATCGCCCATGCTTGGCACAAGATCTTGGGCCTGATACAAAAATACTTGTCATCTGTACGCTGCCTTACAGCTTCTAAGAATCCTAAAAACCACTGAGAGGCAGCCCTGCCACAAGGGGGATTATTAGTGATCTGCCTAACGCCAACCAATTTGAGTAGTTACCTGTGCCAATAGCAGGTCACAGCCCTTCTGCCTCCAGATCCAATCTGTTCCCCCAGAACTGGGCTGGGGGAGGGGAGGCAAGCCCACAAGAAACACCAAGCCATGCAGAGTCATCATGCCTCACCCAGGGGGAATGTCTGAGGTTTAACCACTGATTAAAATGATCCCTACACCTGCTCCTTAGAGGACAGTTAGGAGCTCATGCTGCCGACCCTCCTAGCAGTTTTCTCATCTGTAAAGAGGGACTTCCCTCACTGGGGAGGCAGAATTACATGATCCAGGCTCCCTTGTGCTCCAGAGGCTTGTGGGAGCCAGAGCAGCGTAGGTCAGAACAGCAGGGGCAGGACTAGAAAGCTTAGAAAGCTAATGACGGTAAAATCGCTCTATCCAGAGCGGAGGGGGGTTCAGAAAGGAGTGAAGTCTACAGCCATGCCACCCTGAACCCACCCAATCTCATCAGAAAGGCGTGAGATCTCACAGAGCAGCAAAGCCAGCCTGGTCGCCCCCGGCCACTCCTCTCCCTCCCACCGAAACCAGGGCCAGGGCCATCTGTGGACAGCTGGAGCAGATGGCCACCCCAAGCCAACCCAACAATCTCTCTGGGCATTTAACCTCCATTGTTGATTTCTACCCAGAGGACCCAAGGAATGTAAATCAGCCCCTGGAAACTAGGCTGCCCTGAGATGCGGTTGCTGGTTTAAAACAAACACAAGGCTTCCTATATAAGGACCAGCCAGCCACCAGGTGTCACCTCCGCCAGGAATCCCAGGTAGGCACCCTCTCTCTCTGTGGGTTTGCTTATGGGTTTAACTTACTGGCCGTTCACAGGCCCATCTGAACCAAGGGGAGGTTGCACAAGCTGGGGCAGCCTGGTTGCTCAGACATAACTGGGCTTTGGTCTCCTGGGGATCTTGCTGGGTCAGCTTCATTACCCATTAAGAAGCTTGGCGAGGTCTTTGGGGCTGAGGCAAACACATGGGGAATCCACTGCCAAGGGGTCTGCCCTGAACAGTCTTGGAAGAGAACACAGACATCCTTCAATTCATTCTGCCTTAGGCAGTGGGGAGAGCTGCCATCCCAGGTCGAAGCCCTGTCTGCTAAGCTCCTACCTGCATTCTGAGGCGCTGGGAGGGCAGTGGACGCGAAGGGAGAGGAGGGGGAGCGTGTTAACTGGAGACTCTCTTCTCTAGGCCCATCTGTCCCAACCCAGCTGAGGCCATGCCTTCCCCAGGGACCATCTGCAGCCTGCTGCTCCTCAGTGTGCTCTGGGTGGACTTGGCCATGGCAGGCTCCAGCTTCCTGAGCCCCGAACACCAGAAAGCTCAGGTGAGATTCTCCCCACAAAGCCCCACATTCTGACAGGGCCTCTCATTCCAGCCCTGCCATAGCAGCCAGCTGTGTGACGTGGGCAGTGGCTCAACCTCTCCGAGCAGCCTTCTCAGAGAACACAAAGGAGGGCCCTGGGTCTGACTTATAGGCACCGCCTCTCTCTGCTCTGGAAGGATATGGGGGCTTAGGGCCCTAAAGAAAACTCTCTCTCCAGCAGAGAAAGGAGTCCAAGAAGCCACCAGCCAAACTGCAGCCCCGAGAGCGAGAGCTCGAAGGCTGGCTCCGGCCAGAAGATGGAAATCGGGAGGAAGGGGCAGAGGATGAGCTGGAAATACGGGTTGGTTCCTCTTGGGGGGGGGGGGTGAAGGCTGGGGGCGATAGCATGAACAGGGGTCCACTTACCAGCATGAAAATAGTTGATTGCACTGTGCTCTATGAGGTCTGTGCCCATGAAGAGGCAAATATCTCAGAGAAGTAACTCTGCTACCACAAAATGGGAACATACAGGAACCATGAGCAGAGGAGAGAGAAGGGGACACTAGCAGGCGCCAGATATTTTCAAAGAGTGCAGCAAACGGGGTGCCCAGAGAAAGATACCCAGGAAGACACAGCTGATCGTAGACTGAAGGTGTTTCCCCGCAGAAAACATTCTGGTTGGCCCAGGGCCTCTCAGACCTCACTGGGCTGCAGTGCGCCCAGACCGCATCCTGGCCGGCAAGCTGCTGCTGGCGGGGCTGCAGGGCCCACTCGCTGCAGACTAGCCATGCTGGCCCTGGCTCTGGCTAATCTTGCCTGAGATAAGAAAATAGTTTACAGATAAATGGAGGACTAGGAAGGGGGGCCGGGTGGAGGGAGAGACATGGGTTTCATAGGGTCATCCAGGTAACTGTCCTGAAAGGCTGGCTGTGTGTGGTTAGCGGGCGGTTCTGACAAGATTTCGGTGGCGACATACACCTCCATGCAGAGAAACCAGAATTCCCTGGATGGTACTTAATACTCAACCATGGCAGTTACTGAGCTGCTGGGAGCTGGTATCATTGCCCTCATTGACTAGAAGTTCAATGTACTTGTCTGTGACGCCCCAGCCAGAGGGCGGCAGCGGTAAAACTGAAGGTCAGGGCTGAGTCAGCCCCCAAGTCCTCTCTTCCTCCTTACGGTCTGACAGAGGGAGTGCCTCCCACTCTCTCTGGCCTGAGAGAAGCTGAAGTGTGTCCTGCCTTGGCCTTTCTCTAACCACCCACCAGCCACTTCTCCTGTCAGGGATGAGCTCCCCAACCCATGCTTTCTCTGACCCTCTGTAAACCTAAAGGTGTTCTCAGGCACTTCCTCCATACCACCTGGGACATCCTCAGCCCACCACATCCACACTCGATGGCCTTAAATGAAAATCAGGGAACTCTCTTAGTGAGGTTGCCAGCTCCCGCCGCAGGTACTCCCCCAGCTGGGGTCACTCTAAATTAGCCCAGATGGGGAAGAGATTTCAATGGCGGCTGACTCAAGGCAGGGCTGGAAGTTTCTAGTTTCCACAAAGGCTGGCCTCAGAAGAAATGGCCCGGGCTGCCTCAGCTAGAACCAGAAGTCTGAAATGTCTGGGAGGTGGTGTAGCGGTAGGAGACAGGTGGGGCAGGAGGCCAGCAACACCTTCTGGGAGCCCCTCCCATCCTAGGGCTCCACCTCTTTCATCCCAGGCCCCCCACTTCCTTCAAACATTTTCCTCCTGAAATCTAGTTTCAGAACTTTAATATTTCTCAAACCAAGTCCTTCCCACTCCCCTACCCCACCCATCTCCCACTGAACAGATGAGACGCCAAGGGAGTCTTGTTGGGTCACCTGAAGCTCATCTCCCACCCACCAGTCGCCACGCCGCCTCTCAACTGCCCCTGCCACCCAGTTCTAGCCAGCAAGTCCCTAAGAAGTCTGTTCCAGTGATCTGACCACCCCACATTAGCCACGGGGGGTCGGAGGGGATGTGTCTTTGAATCTTTACTGAAGGGAGATAACGGGAGGGTCCAAGTTCCCTAAAAAACCAATCATGCCATTCCCCATACTCTCCACCTTCACAGTGAAGACAAATGGGGAAGGTAAATTGTTTTAAAGGAACAAACAGCCATTTGTTGCTTTAATAACTTCTCTGAGCAGTTCGCTCATCTGTAAAATAGGAGTCATAGTGGTACCTGCCTGGAGGGGAGATACCGAGGGCTGGAAACAATGGGCGCTGCTACACCCCTGGGGTTAGCAGAGGTCCCGGGACTGGTGGACTTAAGAATCCTGCATTCTAATCCTTGGCCACCAACTCCTCTGAGGCCTCAAACAAGTCCTTTAACCTCTCTGGGTCTCATCTGCTTTATCTGAAAATGGGGGTTAACACCTCCTGTCTGGAGGGTAGTGGGCAGAAGGACCAACGACCAGGGGTTCTTTCCAGCATCAAGAGTCCTCCACTGACCCATGGAGATGTTCAGACACCTCAGTGACCAACATGGCCAGGTGCTGAGGCAGCTACTGGATGAACAGAGATAAAGATACAGTCTCTGGTCTCAAGGGAGAAAACAATGATGTGGCTGCAAACACAGCTCTTTCCTGTTTCCCCAAAGCTTTTAGTGACAGGAAATCACCTCACAGACTGCCAAGTAGGGAAAAAGGTGCACTCTCTCTGCAGACGGAAAAAAAACAGAAGCTGAGAAAGAAGGAACTTAGCTCTAGGAAAAGGTTAGCTTCCTGCCTGCACTGAACAGAGGCCTGAGCATATGAGGAAAAGTACCCGGGAAAGGAGAGGTGGGGGCAGTGGAGGGGGCAGAGACCATCACGTAGGCTAGTGCTATGGACACCAGGTAAGCCCACTTCCCCCAAACCTCCCTGCCAGGGCCTGAAATTCCACCATTGCGATTCAACACTGTCTTCAAAAATTGCACAGCAGGGAGGGGGCTTGCTAGGGGACACTGCAGATTTATCTTAGCAGTAAAGGAAGAGTGTCAAGGTTAGCCTCCTAAAGATGGAGGGGGCAAAAAGAATGGGTGTACAAAGAAGAGAACTGAGCTATCCCTCAGTGCACCTGCTGGGCCCACAGGCCCTTTCCCTCTCTGACCTTTGGGATGAAGTGTTTGGGGCAGGGGTGTGGGAGGCTGTAACCTCTGACATTTCCTGGGTCCTCCCTACTCTCCTCCTAGTTCAACGCCCCCTTTGATGTTGGAATCAAGCTGTCAGGGGCTCAGTCCCACTGGCATGGCCAGGCCCTGGGGAAGTTTCTTCAGGACATGTTTTGGGAAGAAGCCAATGGTAAGTCCCTGCCCGGGTCAGGTCAATTCAGAGTTTTCTCAGAGTCCCAAATGTGAGCCCACATTATGGGTGACACAAGAAAAGTTCTCTTCCCTGACCCCTGCCTCTCAAAGAGCTTCTAATTCCTCGTTCCCAAATGGCAGGAGTGGGCGGGGCTGGTATTTGAGTGGCTCGGAGGGTGTTGAGCCCAGTTTTTGTATTCAAAGAGGGTACAAAGTTCTGAGAACTAGCTTTGGAGCCCCAGTGAACCCCAATTTCCGTAACCATAAAATGGAGCTAACATCCCTAATAGAGTATAAAATTATTTGATGTTACAACACCTTCACTGTATAATTTTACTTCACAAACAACAGGAATTAGTGCTACAATCGCATTCAGAAGAATGGGCTCCGCAGCCAGTTAAGCAAAGTTTTTTGTTTTTATTTGAATCCCCTCTTACCTTGTAAAGAAACCACTCAACTTTCCCCTGATCAAGGAGGCCACTGGAAGCACCTTGCAACCTGCAAAGCACTTCTGTCACCAACATGGCATCACCTAACCCATCCACCACTCGAGGCAGACAGAGAATCGCACTCACCCTTCCATGCAGATAAGGAGACCAAGACTCCGAGCCTTTAGTGACTTGCCCAAGTCACAGTCCAAGGCTCCCCCCATTACAAGTCACCACCTCACCAGTCACCACTATGTAAGAAAACCATCTTTGATGGCACTGGCCAAACAGCAGACTCAGAATTTTGACATCTACACCCTTGCTTTTCAGAGGTCCCAGCAGACAAGTGACCATCCACAGGACGGGCCCACCTCTTTGTTTTCCTACTACCCTTAGAAGTGCTCACCGTGGCTTTTAGATTGCTTCTACGACTCCCAGCTCTGAGTGGTACTAGCTTAGGAGCTGAATAAATATTCAAAGTGTGTGCTAAATGTTCATAATGAGAATTATTTCACCAAAGAGGAAAATGTCACTGGAAAAATAAGTCTTGTTTTATGGTCAATGGAAAGAGAAAAGAAGGATATGTAACAAGGCAGGTGTGCACACTCAGAAAACCACACTAGACCACCTCATACAAGCAGATAGACTACTGGGTATGTGTGCCAGAAGAGGAGGGGAGGAGAGAGAGACAAAGAATAAAAGTAAGAGGGGAAAGGGAAGAGAAGAGGAGAAGAGGATGGGGAGGGGAGAAAGAAAGACACAGTTCCTTTAAATATCAAAGTGCAACGTTGCAATGAGAACTTATTATCAAGGACTCTGTGGCCCTAGCTGGTTTGGCTCAGTGGATAGAGCAGTGGCCTGTGGACTGAAGAGTCCCGGGTCTGATTCCTGTTAAGGGCACATGCCCCAGTTGCGGGCTCACTCCCCAGTAAGGGGCGTGCAGGAGACAGATCAATGATACTCTCTCATCATTGATGTTTCTATCTCTCCCTCTCCCTTACTCTCTGAAATCAATCTATATATATATATATATATATAGGACTGTATGGACAAAGAAAGTACGGGTGACATTATCAGAGCTAAAATCTACTAACACATTCAAAATCAGAACAGGATTCTGGGAATGCCAAAGCATGAGTCTAAAGTTATTAAGTGGGTGCTAACAATGGCTTCTAGCCACTGCTGGGAAGGGCTTCCTCTTTGTTCACTATTGGGAAGCCCAGCAAAGTAGATACCAACTCATATAGGCAAGGCAGACCACTGCCTTCATTACTTCACTGATACCTGGTAGTTGTCCCACAACATTTCCAACTCCAGCTCACAGCTGAATCGAACCTTGGTCCTTAAGTTCCACAATTTAATTCCAGGGAAGACACCAGCCTTCCTAGGAGGAAATGTCACCTATCGGTCATTTACACTTTGGTATCATAAACATGCAAAGTGGTTTCTGAGAGCTGGTGATGATGGGTCAATCAATAGGAGAGAAAAGCAAACAAGGAGGGAGATTCCAAAGAGATGCACTGCCAGGCAGACACATGATCCCCTAGAAATATGTAGGGCACCCCTCTGCAGAGTTGGGGTAACACCCACACTGGAAAAAACTACCAGAGAGCTCTAGAAGCCAAGTATCTTCTTGAGTGAAATCAATCTAACCTGGCACTCAAGGCACAGCCCTAAAGGTACCAACCACTGGTAGACTTAGTAGGCACACCGAAACCCAACTGCCATTGATCATCCAGGAACTCCATGCAATCTGTGGATCATCTGGGAATTCCTTAGAAATGCCATCTTGGGCCCCATCCCTGCCCTACTATATCAGGATCTGCACTTTAACAAGATCCCAGGTTATTAAATGGCTTCTATAAAGTGGCTTAGAGGGACTGGACTCTATTCAGACAGCACAGCACTCTGCAGCCAGATTGCACCACCTGGCATACAATAGGTGTCAATTGTTATAAAACTTAAAAAAAAAATTGAGACCTGACCAGGTGGGACCCTCAACAGAACTGTGAACACATGAAAAAGGTGTCCTGTTTCTTCTCTCTTACCTTCTTCCCCATCGATTTAGTCCCAGCTCTATTGTAGACTCTGTTGGGCAGATGGCAGACCACGCACACACATACATACATACTCCCATCTCTCAGATGACCAGACACCTAATTATATGACTACACAGTGACTTCATTCACTGAGTCTTTGCTTTCAAAAGCATCTTCATCTAAGCCACAGACTGAAACATGTTATCACCATTAAAGGAACTTAAGGTATTGGAGAACAGATGAACTAAGTGGGGGGAGTGGAAAAAATAGAAATGGAGGGAAATGACCTTCTACAGCCCCCAGATAGCCAGCTCCCTAGTACTGAGGTCTAGACGGACATGCTGCCCTGAAGCTTAGCCATATCCCAGTTCCACTGTTTAGTGGGGGCACAACCCTGATCACTCTAACCACACCCACAGCCCTCTTCTTAACAGCTAGAGAGGATGGAAGGTCCAAGTGTGATCAAATTGGCCCAGGAAACCAGCTGCTGACCTGGGGAAGCAGCAGCCATGGATTGGGCTGGGGGTGCTGCTTAGGAGGGGGATGTGTGCCAGGCCCTGGTGGGAATGCTGGTCAGCTCCATCCCATCAAAAAAAAGAACAAAGACTTACTTTTCTCTCAAAGGACTCACAAGCATTCTCTGCCACTTGCCTGCGTCATTCATTAAAAAAAAAAAAAATTTAACATTTTTTAAGCCCACTCTGGACTGGGCAATCCCACCTGGGGCAGGCCCATGGTGTGGTTGAGAGCTATGCCTCAGACCTGAATTTGAATACCAGTTCTGATCCAGACCAAAATATTGTTTCTCAGGTTTCTCAAATTAAAATACCCACCTCCCTGGGTTACTATAGAGACTGAACACAGTATCTCCCTCAAGGACACCTGGCACATAGTAGGCATTCAACTATTCTAACCGTCATCACTTACTTCATCCCTGCAGTGCACCAGGCATTGTTCTAAATACTTGCAAGTAGTTAATGCAATTTCAGCTAATTTTCACAAGTTACTTCGGAGGGAGGAAACTGAAGTTTGGAGAAATTAACTTTCCAAGGTCACACAGCAAATACATTGCCCACTCATATCCAGAGCTATAGTGGTTGAGTTCATGCGTTTCAAAGTCTACTGACTCTCAATGGTATTTTCTTGCCCTGCTGCCTAGGGTCCAAAGGGATTTCTTTTGTTTTTTAAAGTAAAATTTTTAAAAAAACGTTTATTGACTTTTAGAAAAAGAAGGGAGAAGGAGAGAAACATTGATGTGAGAGTGAAACATCGATACGCTGCCCCTCCTGCATTCCCCTACTCCCCCCACCCAACCCAGGCATGTGTCCTGACTGGGAACTGAACCAACAACCTTTCAGGGCTTGTTTTTTTTATTTTCCTTCATAATACATTGGGTCAACTTCAAGTCAACAACTGGCAGAAATAAAACATCAAAAGAAACAAGGGACACACTTGAAAAAATGTAGCATTTCAAACAAGGTCCTATGTCACCCTTCTTAAACCTATTCCTCTAACATTATTTAATGATACCACTAACTTAAGGTTCTCTGAATGGGGTGTATTTACCCTTGGGGTGAACAAGAAATTTGTTGAAGGAGTGCTCGCTTCGGCAGCACATATCCTAAAAGAAATTTGTTGAAGGAAAAAAATTCTCCTTATAAAAAGCTTATTTTGTGTTTTAGGATATACCAGTATACTAGCACATGTATTTAACTCATCATACACTTACAGGTGTGTGCTCAGAAACTCCCTTATGGCAACATGTAAACAGAAGAATGGGGACCCATGCTTAGCTACCTTCGTTAATCTGAATCCACTCCAAAGGAGCACTGACAGGGACCACAAGGGCTGGCTAGCCACTGATCAGCAGTTCTGCTGCCATCTTTGTTTGAGTTTGTTTAATCACTGAATATTTCAGTGGCCATTTGCCCACACTTTATAAAATGAGTGGCATAAAAATGAAGGTCCTGACAGCAAATGATTAGTATCAGTCCCAACTCAATACAGAAAGAAAGATGTAAACACCAGCAACACCAAGCGCAACAGATTTTCAGCCACAAACCGACTATCACTGAGTAGACACAGTCAACTGTGTGTTCAACTGGAAAGGAAACTGAACCAAAGTGAAGGAATATGCTGAAAATGCAGTCAATGGCTGCGTCTCAGAGATGATGCATTAACAGAGATTTCAAATTTGTTTAACATTCTCACAGCAGAGCCTTCCTTTTTCCAGGTTTACTTTTGGCTTGTGTGTTTGTGTTCAACAATACCTCCATAAAAATCAGAGGACTGAGTTAAATACATGTGCAAGTAGTGAAATAGAATGTCCTCCAGTCTACCCAGAGGCATCAGATCACAGTCCAAAAACAGTACAACTGATTCATCAGTACCACACCTGTGTACTCGATATTTCTTCCTCTTACTGCACTGCTCTGGAAAAAGAAAAGAAGGTATCTATATAGTTTTCAAAGGCTAGGAAGCAGCAGTATATCTGAGTTCCCAAAGTGTAAGATAAAAGTTAACACTCAAAGGCAGAACTTTTGAGAAGATACCATGTCTTACTTATCTCATGCAATTTTGCAGAGGCACATGAATACTCGAGAATGTCAGACCTCTGGGATCACAGGTTTCGAAGTCGGCCACCAAATGAACCACTGTTCTCATTCTGAGAACTCTAAACAAACGTGGAGAGCATGGGAGTTGGCTGAGAATCTATCCCTTTATTTTCAGAAACTGATGGGTAGGGGTAATACAGAGGCATTCCAGCAGCACAGCAAAAACAATCAAGTCAGCCATCCAACATCAAAAACATTGCCAACCAGCTTTCACGCCACAGCACAGAAGTAATCCTAAATCCTAGAGATAAAAGTGTATAGCACCTTGTGCGTTACCTTGGCAGGAAGACTGCATAAGCTCTGAGATATCCATTTAGTCATCCCTTTAACCCTTTAATGCAGGACCAACTGGTTTCCCATGTAGGCAGTACTGACATACAGGGTTTATGAAGGAGATATATATGCTGCAGTTCATTTGGATGACAATGAAGCACTCTGAAATATTTAGCAGTTCCCCAAATCTTCCAAACAGGAGAATGAGCCCCCAGTTCCCCACACTGGCAAACATGAGGCACAAACAACGCACAACTAATCCATGGAAGGTCAACAGGGAATCAAGGCCCACTTCTCAGGCCAGCAACTGTGCACAGGGGCAAAACAGAAATACCGTCTAGAAAAAACATTAAGCCATTTCCTTTTAACTTACCAGGCTCAAATGCACCTTCCAAAATCACCTAGAGAGATCCAGCATTAAGTGATGGGTTTTATGATGTAAGCCACCAGGTTCCAAGAAACACACAAGGAATTTGGTGGCCTGTCTCACTGCAGATTGGGGTAAAGGATCCTTTTGGACAAAGTGCAGTGTCCTTACATTTACCCCGTGACCATTATAACCTTCCAGGGCCTGTAATGAATATACCTTTACAAGGCACCAGCAGGAAACAGAACACAGCTTAAAATCTGAGATGACCCCAGATGCTCAAAAGTCAAAGGAGAGGCTCTCATTTCCAACACAGAGAAAGGACACAGAGGAGGCAAAGGCAAGGGAGACCACCCAGAGGGGGAATGAGAGACTTACAGACATCAGGCCTGCTTGTTGGGCAAAGGCAACAGAACATGGCCGAGTGACCCCAGCAGAGCTCTGAAGAAGTAAACTGATTTACCTCTTAACCTGGGAGGGACACACAAGAGGCTGTCATATTGAGAGCAAAATGGAACGAAGGGCGGCTGGGACCTCACCAGCAGACTAGCAAGTAGCTTCTGCTACAGGCTGGACCTTGATCAGTTTGACACAACCGAGCCGCAGCCCTGGGGCATCAGTAAGTAGAAACACCTTCTTTGGGGTCCTCTTCCTCAAGAAGGCCTCTTCCTTGAGTTCCCCCATCTGTCCAGATCTCCATCAGCCAGGATTTTCCCTGGACAATGCGTGCCTTTCTGCCCCCTCTGTATTGATGGCAATGGAACCAATGAAACCAGTAGTCGAGTCCTTCCACCTGTGCTGATGCAGAGTTGACACAGCGACAGCCACACTGAAGAGTTATCCAGGGAAGAGAAGGGGATGACTCCTTTGGTTGCAGGGGGGTGACTTCACCGGTCTCCAGCGAAGATCCCCCATAGATTTCTCACTGGGAGCTCACTCTCAGAACTGAGGACCAGGAACCAAGTTACACACCAACATGGGCTTAGACTAGTAGGAGGGTGACTTTATTCGCAGACTGCTCAAAAACACAGGCTGCAGAGAAAAGAGATTTGGATTGGCAAACTTGTTGCACCCTTCTACTAGTCTTTCTTCCTCCCTGACTGCCCTGGAGCATGTGGCCAGGAGGCAACCTCCCTTCCTGCTCCCCACCCTGCTCCATTGCACCCCCCTACCCATAAGCCAAGATCAAAAGCCTGATGATGAAGTTTCAAGAAAAATCCTGTTTCCTATCTTGATTTTCTCCATTCCAATGGGCTCTCTAAACACACCCTTGTCCTGGACCCAGGCAGAGATGAAACCCAGCCTATGCTGTTAGGTCACTGGTCGTCCTGGAGGGGAGGGAAGAGAAAAGAAAGGTTTCAAACCAAGTTCATTCAAGACAAATCAGGCTACTCTCTACATTAATAAAATGCAGCAAAAAAAGGTTCTGTCCCGATTTTTAAAAACATAAATGTAAACTTTATGACCTTTTATAGAAAACTCCTGCACTCTCTCTGCTTATAGATTGTAGAGGCGACTGGTGTTCTCACGCAAGGTAGCCAAGGTGCGGGACAGCGGTTGATCTTTGACCCTGGCAATCTCTCGAACTGTATGCAAGGCCAGGCCCGGGTGGGCATACTGGCAAAGGCTTTTGGGAACCTGGAAGATATCAAACATTCAGAACATCGCTGTGCTGTCTGCGCACAGTCATTACACAGAGATCCCTCCCCGGCCCTTCCCCAGTAAGGACCTCTTTGGGGCTGCCCTGTAGAGACCCCTTTACCTGCAGGTGCAGGGAGAGTCCTAGTCATGGGGGGCTCTGGGTGAGCAGGGTCCCACGCTTCCTTGGACTACCCTCTACAGGGTAGGGCTTTGCACTGCCTGGAAGAGAGTGGTTACCCTTCAGCTTCTCAGCCCCCTAGACTTTTGGTTCTGCAGAGCAATACAAGGAGACATCTATATAGCCAAGGGTGGGACCTGGACATCACTGGGGCTCTGGCCCTGCCAACCTTGTAATGGTGACCGCCCACCTCCCCAACCTCTCCTCAGTGCCTCAACTCAGCCTGGAGACACCCCTACCTGTCGAGGCAGGAAGTAGGGGGCATCAGTTTCCACGATGATTCTCTCCAGCGGGATCTGTTTCAGAGCTTCCCGGGCCTCCCAGGCAGAGGAGTACGTCAGGACTGCCGTGAAGCCCACAGACATGTTTGGGAAGTGCTTCAGCAGGGGCTCAATGACCGGGTAGCTGCCAGTGAAGCAATGCCTGAGAGGAGAAGTCCAGATCAGCGCTCTCTCACAATCCCCTGGGCAGCAGCTCTAACTCCCTCTAGACATATAACCCCTTTTAAATTATTTTCTGTGGACAAATATCCAGAAATGTAAAGCTTGCATCTAAAGGAAGGACTCCACAGTAAACACAGACAAGAGCTGGTTTCAATACAGTAAGACCCAAGATGATTCCTGGTGAGCAATGCTCATCCATCAACCCATTACATCGCAGAATACTATACAGCCACTTGAAATAATTACCAGGAACATACAGCAACAATACAGGGACAGGGTATCTTTATGACACAAAAAGAGAAGCAGAATTTAAAACTGTGGCTCCTTTAATATTACAACTACAGTAGGTAAAAATTATGTCCATGCAGTCAAAAGAACTCAAAGGAAACAAAAAAAATATATCAAGGAGACTATGAATGAATTTTCTTCTCTTAATTTGAAGGCTGTTCATGTTCCATGTTCATAATATAATATAATAAATATAATAATAATTAAAATATAATGTAATCCTATCCTATCAAATAATAGACAAACATGGTAATTAACCATACCTCCGACATGCTTCCCATTGGCTAATCAGGGCGGTATGCAAATTAACTGCCAACCAAGATGGTGGCCCGCAGCCAGGCAGCTGAAGCGAACAGGAGGCTTGCTGGCTCCAGTGATGGAGGAAGCCAAGGTTCCCTGCCTGCCGCCGCCCAGCTCTGAGCTGCACTCTAAGCAACTATGTTGCAATTATAGAAGCTAAACAATCCCCAGAAACCTGCTTTCAGCCCCAGGAGCCT